TCAGACTTCTCTATCGCTGTTATTTTCCTGTCAGTTCCTTCCTGCTTCCCTGCAATGTACTATACTTCTTTTCTTCCAGTTGTTATTTTCCAGTGTTGGATTCTGGATCTCTGAGAAGTTGAATTTTGCTGCCACTTACCACTCCACAATCTTGATTCTGTCTCATTTTCTGTTACGACATTAACATTTTTAAAGGATTCATTTGCTCCCTGTCTCTCTCTCTGTCTCTGTCTTTTTTTTTTTTTTTGGATGTTTTGAGATGAGGTCCCTCTGTTTGGTCCATGCTAGCCTTGTACTCACGGTGTACCTCGGACTCCTCAAACCACCAGTCCATTTTGGTTCATTTCTATTGTTGTGCCTTTGAGTTCTCCATTTTTTTTTTTCAGTTGTCTAACCTGCATTAATTTTTCAATATCTCTTTTGATTTATTGTTTTTTCATCACTGGAATTTATATTTGGGTTTTATTTATATTTGTTTCCTCAATATAATGTTTTTCTGGAATATATGGAACATTCTTTTAATTGCTATTTAAGATAATTTTCTGTTAATTCTGTCGTCTCTGACATTTGGAGAACTTTTTCTGCTATTCACTTTTCGGGGCTATGATCATATTTGATTTCCTTTCACATTAGGTAATATTTCACTGGATGACAGTCATAAAGAATTTTGTGTGGTTAGTTACTAGATTTTACTGAAAAACATTTATAAATCCAGTACTGTTGGATTTTGTCATGATGGACAGCTAGCATTGATGGGTTCAGTTGGATTCCACCGAGACTTGTTTTAAAGCTGTGTTAGGGCAGCCCAGAGAAGGCTTTGTGCAGCCAGCTTTAGCCCTGTTTGTAAAATGATCTCACCGAGACGTTCTTAGGCTTGTTGTGCTGCTTCTCTGATTCTATACTATAACGTTCACTTTTTTAGTTTCTTTTTCATTTATCGAAGTTGCCATTAGCAGTATCCTTCATTTTTCCTCTTTTTGTGGAACACTTCCTATTGGACTTGACCTCCACTGGGTGCTGGAGTCATGGACCTTCATGGGACTCTCAGTGTTGCTGGGATAGACGTGTCATCATGATGGCACTCAGTGCCACACTTCTATGCCCAGTGTTGGGAAGGAAGAGCCACAGCTCCAGGAGAGGCTGTAGCAGCAGATTAACCTTCTCCCTGGGGGCCAGGGGATGCTGAACTCAAGATGGGGTTTAAGAAGTGAGGGTCTCTCAGGTCATGAGAGCAGCAGGTATAGAATCATCAAGACTAGGATTTAGAGAGGAGATGGAGGGGTACCTTTATTTTTATTTATTTTTTAGTACCGGGGATTGAACTCGGGTCCTTGCATTTGCGCAACAGGCGGTGAAACCACTGAGCTAAATCCCTGGCCCAGAGGGGTACCTTTAATAATTAAAATTAATATGTAGGTTTCCTTTCAGGCATTATAGCACAGTGCATTGTCTGTAGTCTGACTGAGTTCAGATTTTGACTGTGCAACTTTCTAGCCACGTGACCCTTGGCATCTTTCTTAACCTCTCCAGCCTTCACTTTTCTTAGCAGAAACATGGAGATAATATGGTTGGTGTCAAGATTTAACAAACTGTTGCTACACGGAAAGCCTTTAGCACAGTTCTTGGTTTAGGAAGTAACTAATAAGGGCTCATTACTATCTAATATTTTATGGCTTGCAGCTTTTATTTCCTTGTTTTATATATATTGTAGTAGAATCATTATTATTCTCCAATAACAGCTATTTTTTCGAGGGACTAATTGCCAAGGCCTTAGTTCTCTGATTAGATAGTTTCTTGTGGAGTATCTGGGTATTTTCTTTTACCTTAAGAAGTTTTACCCAAGTTAGTTTTTAATCCCTGAAGCATTTAGTGGGCCTCAAGGACCCTTTGAAAACCCTGCTCTTGCTGAGAAGTTTGGAGTGCTTTTGCCTGTGACTTTTTTGGTCTGGAGCCGTCTGTGAGTCCAGGAGGTCCAGAACTGCTGCTTTGTACTTGGTCACTGTTTTGGATCCACTCTAGGCCAGGCCTGCAGGTGCTCTCTGCATGTCTGTGGAGTGTGGGGTGTGCTCCTGCTGACCCCTAGGAATATGTGCAGAGAACACTCAGACCCAGCACTGGCACTCTTGGCCTTGGCTGTGACCCTGTCTAGGCCCATTCATCTGAGGCAGTGATCGTGCAGAGAAACAATGTATTTTGATTATGTTGTTCATATTTTTCTACAAATGTATAAGTCTTTATTAAAATTCTCTGAGTAACTATTATACCATGTAAATTTTTAATAGACTCTTATTACTTGCTTAAAAGAATTATTTGATAAAAATGTTTTTAGTGTTTCAGAGAAAAGTAAGCATCTAGGCATAAGCTTGTCATCTCTATTTTAAACTCTTATCAATTACTGCCTAAATTGGATTTGGTTTTCTGCCTGCCAGATAGGCCACCTCTGCTTTTTCACACCAGTAGTGCTACTGGCACAACTATCTAATTTTCAGGGTAAGAAATAGTAGGATGTACTTACACCTCCATAGCAGGTGCTGATTGATCTTCCCGGACCCAGCTATGGAGACAGTTCTCTTGCCAAAACTATCCCCAAGGAGGTCTTTGGCAGCCTGTTTCTTCATCTTTATTCTTTAAGGTAAAACATGGGAAGATTGATTGCAGAGAGTAGGGGAAGGGAGGACTTTGTAAATGTATTTCTTTTTATTTTGCACAAACTCTGGTCAGGAAGCAGCCAGCATCCTCTTGCTAATGGAATTTCAAATTCAGGCACTTGCCTTCCTGCCTTATCTTTTTAGTGGATGCCCTCATCTCCAGCAGGAATGGAATGAGGAGATATCTGCTTAATAGAAAAGATTATCATGAAGGGGATTCTTTAAAAAATGCCCATATTTTATGACATGCATAAAATACATACTCATACGCTGAGTTGTGATCTGAGCCAAGGCCTTGTCTAGGCACATGCACCTCCTTTTCTCCACACAGCACACCCACATGGCTTCATCACCATTCCAGGTCTTTACATGGAGTAAACAATCTGTCCTCAAAACATGGATGTCAGTCTTCACGTTTGTAATATCTCCCACTTGTTTCACTCATACCTAATTTGACAGCTGTATTTTAGTGATTCATCTTTATTGAATCTTTCTGAAGAATTCAATCTAATGTTTCTTTTGACAATCATACAACACTGATTACACAATATTTCACTGAATTATTTATTCACAGTAAAAAGAACAACTGGCATAAGCAACTTTGGGTACATGGATAACTCACTCTTAGTGAGCAGGTAACCCCTATGGCAACAACTGCACAGAGTCCTACTTCTGGTTAGAACAAGCTAAATGAGTGACTGAAGGAAAGCTACATAACCTGCCTGGGTAATGGTTTGCTCATCTGTAAAGTAAGGATAAGAATAGTCTTCACTTGGTTGAGTTGTGGGAACTGAATCATACCTGTAAAGCACTTTCCTGCCTCTTATTACAAGTACTAGAAAAGTAGCTATTATTTTGGGTTTTTTTTGTTTTTGGTACTGGGGAGCGAACTCAGGTCCTTGCACTTGCACAGCAGGCGGCGAAACCACTGAGTTAAATCCCCGGCCCCAAAAGTAGCTATTATTTTTATTTGTGTGACTGTCCCAACAACTCCTCTTATCAGTGTCATTCCTGGAGAGTAACCTCTTAGCTATGAATGTGTTCTTGGAGTAATAGTGGTTTTACAGAGTGGATAGAAAGATTAAGTTAACTCAGTGGTTGGTTAAGAGCTTCTTTAGTGAAATGCGTGGCTTGAAAGTGAATTTACTCATGTGTTTTATGAGCATCTACTATGTGCCAGGCATCATGCCGGGCTCAGAGAATCTAGCTGTGACCAGCTGCATACCTGCCTGTGAGCGTCTGTTGGAGGAGGACGTGTTAATTACACATAACAGTGAACACTAACTCAGCAGGGGATCAGCCCAGGTTGCCACCACCAGGGTGAAAAGTCAGTGGACAGGGAAGTCTTTGTCAAAGGGTTGCACCCTAGCTGAGACCTAAAGGTCAGAAGGAGACAAAATGTGGGGAACAACATTTGAAGAAGGCCTTAGGGGTGCAAGGGCCACCTGCAGTTGTGCCACACCAAAGCATGGAGTATGTAAAGGATGGTGATCTGTGGCCAGAGCTGGCCAGATCATGTGGAGGTGGACAAACCTACGTGCATGAATGCCCATGTCCCAGCCTACTGAGAGAGCAAGGTAGGGTTTGTTCCTGCCATCAAATGAGAGTGTAGTGTCTAGACAGCTTCAGGGACTTGCTCTGGTCACACAGCTCATCGTTGTGGGATTCATATGCCAGGTGCATTTGTCTCCAGAGCCCATGACCGCAGCTATCCATCATGCTGGGGAGAAGGATGTGCCCTCCATCAGGGGTGTAGGGCAGAGCAGGCTTAGAGAAGAAGAGAAAGGATGAGAACTGGTGAATTTCTCAACAGTGTGAACTGGAGGAACCTCTCCGACATCTGCGGGGAGGGAGAGGTGGGAATTTATGTCAAGAATGGTAAAGCTTGTGAGTACATTAGGGCAGGCAAAATGGGAGAACTTTCTGTCAGATTCTTGCTGTTATGGCAGAAGCTATTTGCTTTTCCCTTCGCCATTTTAAATGTGTTTGAGTAGAACTATCTGGTCACTTCTGAGAAAGGTGAGCCTTTTTGTTCCCTGGCTTCTGAGTTCCCCAGTAGAGGAGTGGTTCCCATTCATTTTGTTTGGAGCTGATGCTGGCATCAGACAGAAGGCACTAAAAGAAACCATCTAGCTTTTCTTTATGACTCTGGTCTTTACCACCTTTGACTTGGGGTTGTACAGCTGATAATTTTAGATGGATTCTCAAGGTTGCCTTTCCTGGGAACCTCAGCTGGAAAGGACTGATGATAGAAAGCTGAGCTACTAGGCCCCGTCTTTGCTCATGTCTGACTTGCCACAGTGAATGACACTTATGCGTGTGGTGTTTGAGTTTTTTCCTCTTCCCCTCTAGATGGATTTGAAGACTATGGTCCAGATTGTGACAGTGTGAGGCTAACAGCCTTCTTGGACATCCCAGGCCAGGATGACCTGCCCCCACTTGCACGCCTGGAAAAGTATGCTTTCAGTGATAACATCTTCAACCGGTAAGCACAGCAGTCCTTTGCATGCCCACAGCCAGCTGCTTTATTTGGTTTACACTGACGCTGGTTGCCGCCTCTCCGTGACAGCTTTGGGAAGACTCACGGGTGAGGTGGGATACATGCTGTCTCTAGGATTCTTGGATTCTGTCTGAATATACCATTTTATAAGACTTTTCTGTTATTTCTTACTGTTTTACTGATTACCTGGTAAATCAGGAAGGCAGTGGTGGTGAAATTCAATGGTGTTTGAATGATTAGTACTGCCAAATGAATTCTTTCCCATATAAACACTTAAGAGTGTAAGCCGGATGCATTGTTCCATGGAGAGATGTGGGGAAGCATCAGTTGCAAGTGTTGCCCAAACACTTCAGGTTTGGCCGCACAGTGCTTCAGGGTCTGTGATGGCAGCCTGTCCTCCACGCTTCTCTGTCAGTTCTCACAGTGCTGCAGGATTCAGCTGCAGGTCAGACTTTTTCTCTTGCTTTAAGTAGACCTTGATTCTGAAGTAAATAGAAACCAAGGCATCTCTTTCCGTCTACAGTCCATCCAAACGTCCATGAATCTGAAAGCCTTCTTCCTTCCTGTCTCTGTCCTATTGTTCTGCCCTTTGACTGGTCCTCAGTCCCTGCCACCCCTCTTTCAGGCATGGCTCTTTTTGTTTTGTTTGTTTTTTGAGACAGAGTAGACTAGCTATGTAGTTCAGGCCTGCCTTGAACTCACTGTGTAGCCTAGGCTGGTGTTGAACTCACAGCAGTTCTCCTGCCTCAGCTTCTCAAGTACTGGGATTATAGGTATGTGCCACCATGCCTCTCTATCTCTGTGTCACTTGTCTGTTACACTTGCACTTTTCTTTCACTTACAGTGTCTCATCTCTCATTTGAAACTGTCTTCTGAGTTTCTCTCTGTTCTTCCTATCTATACCTTTCTTGTTCCTCCTCCTCCTCCTCTTCTTCCTTTTCTTCTTCCTCTTCCTCTTCTTGCTATTCTCCTCCTCTTCCTTTTTTGAGACAGGGTCTCACTATATAGTTGAGGTTGGCCTTGAGCTCACTATGCCCAGGCTGGCCTCTAATTTGTGGTGATCCTCCTCCTCCCTCTGCCACCCAAGTGCTGGGATTACAGGCGTGGGCCACCACTCCCATCTCTACCTTTCTTCCTTAGAGACTAGATGACACTCATAGAGTTTCTGTCTTTACCTTCTACTCACTGTTTTTAAAATTTATATTCTGTTGGGCATGGTGACACATGCTTGTGATCCCAGCACTCAGGACCTTGCTCATGCTAGGCAAATACTCTATCACTGAGCTACATCCCCAGCCCAAAAAATGACAGGTTATTATTTCTTTCTTATTTGTTTTATTTTATTTAGTGAGGTTTTTTTTTTTGAGACAGAGTTTTGTTACATTGCCTACACTGGTTTCAAACTTGTGGTCTCAAAAGATCCTCTTAAGCCTCCCGAGTGGCTGTGGGACTGACCACAGGTGTGTGCCACCACACCTAGCCTCTTATATTTCTAGTAACTCCCCTTAATAGCCTTAAGAAAATTTAAATTTCTGGTTTGCAAAGAGATTATTTTTAAGTTTAAAAAAGTTCACATAGAAAAAAGCTTCAGGAATAGTGGAAAGGCCAGGGATTTAGCTCAGTGGCGTGCAAGATCCTGAGTTCGATCCCCGGGACCAAAAAAAAAAATAGTGGAAAGAAGTCTTGTGTCTCCTTCACCTGGATCCATCAGTTGTTAACATTTTGCCTTGTTAGCTTTATCATTCTTTATTCCTTATATTCACAGTGTTTTTATCTGAACCATTTGAGAGTAAGTTGCAGATCTCATGTTGCTTTTCCCCTAATTGCTTCATGTGCATTTTTCTAAGAACAAGGACGTTCACCATCCACTCATGTAATCATTGTACAATAAGTGACATTTGAGAAATGTAACTGATGTAGCACTGTTTCCTGATATATAGATTTTAATTAAATTTTTCCAGTTGTCCCAATAATGTCCTGAATGTTGTTTATTTGTTTGTTTTTTAGGACCAGAATCTAGCCCAGCATCATATATTTAAATTGTGTTTGTTTTTAAGTTTTGTATTTCTTTAGTCTTTGGTAATCTCTTAAATTTCTCACTTTCTTTTTTTTTTCTTCCATACCGGGGATCGAAGTCAGGACCTTATGCTTGCCAGCTAGGCACAGCACCCGCTGAGCTATATCCCCAGCCCCATCTCAGACTTTTTTTTAACCTCTTATAATACATATTTTTGAAGCATACAAGTCATTTATTTTGTGAAATAAACTTGATTTACTAAAAGTTTTAAAAATCTTTAATGAACTCTGAATTTTATGTAGTGCTTCTTCTTTTTTTTTTGGTACCAGGGTTCGAACTCAGAACCTTGTACTTGCAAGGTAGGCGGTGGTACCATTGAGCTAAATCCTTGGCCTCTAGTGCTTCTTTTATATCTACTGAGATTACCAGATGATTTTTCCCCATTAAAAATGAAAGCTGAGGGCTGGGGATTTCACTCAGAGGTTCTGTCGCCTGCCTTGCAAGCACAAGGTCCCGAGTTCGATCCCCAGTACCAAAAACAAAACAAAAAAAAAGAAAGTTGGATGAAACATACATATAAAATCTGCTAGGTGTGGTGCTGCATGTCTGTAACCCCAGCACTTGGGAAGCTGAGGCAGGACAGTAGCTGTGAGTATGAGGCTAGCCTGGCCTCCCTAGTGAGCTCAAGGGCAGTCTGAATTACACAGTAAGTCCTTCTCTCAAAAACAAAACAAAACAAAAAAGCCCATACATATAAAGTCTAAGGGGTGTTTATGAAGAGACTGTTCAAGTGGTTCTGTATCCAAGTCAGATAATTGTACTCTACCAGCAACCCAGAAACCCTACTCCCAATCCCTTATTGCTTCCTCCCTACCAAGCAATAAGCACTAACTCGATTTTTATTGTTAATCCTGTCCTTGATTTCTATCTAGTTTAGCACCTCCAAATAATCTAATTTTATCTTTTCTGCATTTGAAGTATGTGAAATCAAACAGGAAATACTAATTTGTGGACTTTGCACATAGCCTGAGTGTATTCTTTTTTAACAACATTCTGACATTTGTCTGTCTGCTACGGTGAGAGCATCATTACTAATGTCCACCTACAACAGAGATATTGTTGAGATCTAAACTCAAGTATTTCGACTGTCAGGAACAGTTTTGCTGTGAAGAATCTTGCATATGTACTTTGGGCACATGAGTATTTTTTTTTAAATTCTTTTATTGGTACATTTTAGGTATACAGTACGTTTACATTTATCATTGGGTGTTTGTACCTGAACATGATGTATCTTGGTTCTTATTTTTTCCCCATTGCCTGTGCGCCCTTCAACCCCTCCACCCTTCCCTATTTACATGGATTTCGTTTCCTTTTTTTTTTTTTTTCCTCATAATTTTTCCTTTCCCTTCTTCCCTTTCCCCTTCCCCTCCCACCACCCCTACACCTTTGGACCTTTTCCTATTTCAAATGATCAAGTATTCATTTTAATCATTTTGATCCTTATTTACGCTTTCAGTTTCTCACACTAGAGAAACTGCTTGGTATTTACACATGTGTGTCCTATTTATTTCACTTGAGTATGGCCTCAATATGCATCCATTTACACATGAGTATTTTCAAAGGACACACACCCAAAAAAGAATTGCTATCTGATGGAATGTGCCTGTTTTCTACTTGAGTGGATAATACCATTTTTCTAAAGTGATAATACTAGTTTATACCCATGTCTTTGCCCTTCATTTTATCTGCCAATTGGTATTGTCAGATTTTTAAACTACAGCCAGCCTGGCAGTGTGGTAATATATGTATACGTAACTATCACTTTGTGATTTGAATTTGTATTTTCCTTATTCTGAGTTTGAACCCCTTATGTGTTCGTTGGACATCTGCATTACTTTTCTTGAACTGTTTGTTGAGATCTTTTGGTGGAAGGGTAGGGAAAATACAGATTTTTACTCTTTTTTTTTTTTGGTACTGGGGATTGAGAAAATGTAGATTTAAAAAAAAAAAAAAGATTTGTAGGAGTTTTGTGTACATTTTAGCATTTTTTTTTTTGAGGGTCTTGCTATGTAGTCCAGCCTGGCATTGAACTCACTATGTAGTCCAGGCTGGCCTTGAATTTACAGTGACCCTCCTGCCTCAGCCTCTTGGGTGCTGGGATTACTGGCATGTGTCACCATGTCCAGCTTTGTGCCTTGTGCTTTAACATTCTTTGCATTGTCCTTTTGGTGACCAGAAGATAGTCATTTTAATGGAGTTAAATTGTTTGTTTGTTTTGCTGTGCTAAGGACCAAACCCAGGGCCTCACACATGCTAGGCAGTTGCTCTACCACTGAGCTACACTCCTGGCTCCTCTCTTCTCTTTATTGCTTTACAAGCTTTTCGTTTTTCTTTAACATTTAGTCCTATAATCAGTGTGAAATTAAGGTTTGTTTATTGTATGTAAGTTGAGTCCAGTTTAGTTTTGTATTGTCATAATACCATTTATCAAAAGTGTCCTTTCCCTGCTACCCTGGAATGCCACCTCTGTTACAATGTAGTCTCTGCTTGTGAACCATTTGTGTGGACTTCCCTCTCTTCCAGCTGTTGGTTTGTCTCTCAGCTCATACCACACTGTCTTGATTACTGTAGATTTATAGAAGGCTTACAGATATTTGTAGAAGATTTATAGATATTTGATAGAACAAGGGTTCCCACCTTGTTTTTCTTCTTTGGTCACATCAGAGTGACTTCTTATCCTTTGCATTCCCATTAAGATTTTAAATTCAGGTCAGATTCTAACCAAATAAAACAGAACACTTATTAGGGTTTTAATTGGGTTTATGTTAAGTCCATCAGTTAATTTGGAGGCTTCTTCCTTCTTTATAATATTTACACTTCCAATCTATAAATAAGTACATCTTTCTGTTTATTTAGGTTTTGTCTAATGTCTCAATAAAATGTTATCATTTTCTTTGTATTTTTTTCT